TGTGTAGTGTGTGTGTGTGTGTGTGTGTGTGTGTGTGTGTGTGTGTGTGTGTGTGTGTGTGTACACGTGTGTGTGTGTGTACGTGTGTGTGTGTGTGTACGTGTACACACATAGATTGCGATATCTAGCCCCTTGATAGCCAAACTAACATACTCAACAAGGACCGTAGTACTTGTATTCCACTCTTCGCTATCGTATACTTGCAATGCTGTTAGATGCGCTGCGCGCTCGCCTTCCGACTTGATAACCTCTTCATATACCTCTCTACATTCAACGTCGCCTCGTACCTCCCGGTCTATACCACTCAGCGCATTTATAGTACTCTCATCGTGCAAGTAGCGTTTACCAGGAACTTCGTCTTCGAATTGCAGATTCTGTGGACTGACTCTTGTCAAAGCACGAGCTTGATCAACAGCTAATTGCTCTGTTGCACGTTGAATCGCTGTTTTTCCCGTGTATAGTTGTGCTATAATTCGGTATATTGAATCTTTTACTCGTCTCCAAAAATCGCTATCGACCACACAGTTCACTAAACTTACATCGCGGCCAGCACCCGAGCTTGCACCGGTCCGTGACGGTTGAATAATTTTCTTTGTATTCAAGCCGATGAGTACTAAGCCGCCGTTACTAGACTCCAATTGAGATCGTGCTGAATCATCTTGCAATCGTTTGTATTCTTTGTATATTATGTTTGCCACTAGCCCAGTGAGGCCTGCTGCGGAGTATAGCAGCGCAGTAACTGCATAGTCGAGGTATTTCCTAACATCCATAGTTGTCAATTGTGATTTTTGTTTAACAACAAGCTCATCACATCACAACTGACAACTCAACTATCTGTCACAACACATTTTGATTTTTGACCCTTTTTCGTTTATTTGTTGTCGTATAATATTGTAACAAACTCACTATTTTTTTTAACAAAATATATATATAAAACAAAACACAAACAACAACGCTGATCATTGATGTGCATAAATATGGGCGAAGTCGTGACTCATGACTCATGAACAGTTAAAAAAAAAACACACAAAAGTCACAATGTCAATATTTACATACACAATCATAGCCCTCTAAAAATTCTACAACACAATTTTGAAAACTTCCACACACAACATGAACACAAGGAGAAGAGAAGAGAGAGAAGAGAGAAGAGAGAGAAGTCTCACTACTCTGACTTCAGTGTCTCAGAGTTCAGACTCTCAGGCACAGACAAAAATAAATACATATTTTTTTATAAAACAAAACCAAAAAAATCAACAACAAAAATCTAGCGCATTGTCATTGACCATTTCGCAGAAGAAAAAACTTGCATACCGAGAGTGCCGTGAGGTTTACTTTCAACAAGTGACAACAGTGATTTATGACTTTTCGATTGGTCCATTAAATGCCTTTGACTTTTCTTCCAAATTCCTATTTCCTCTCAGGCTCTCTGACTCTCGTCAGATTTGATTCATTTGTGAACACAAAATCTTTATAGAAAAAATATTACAGACTGAAGAACTAAAGAACTAAAGATACACTATCAATATGTATCAAAACTTGCACAACTTGAAACTTCAAAAATGAGTTCTGAAAGAGAGAATCCTGATAGGCTGATTCCTGAATCTCAGAATCTGCGAAGGTGTGAGTAATAGGTCCCAAAAAAAAGGCTAAACTACTCCTGTTGTAGGGTACATAATTATAAATAACTACAAACTCATATTTGTACGAACTTTGCTCTGATTTGTACATTTCAGTTTCACCCAGCCCAGAGCCGGAGCTGATCACCATTCAAACCGTCTGTTTGGAAAAAAAACAGTCTGTATATGATTATATGTAGAATATGTCACTCGACTTCAGCTAAAAAAAATCACGAGCAGCGGGCACCGCGATAAGCGCGATCTCCTCGTGAGAATGTTCTAACATGGATTTTTACTTCTATATTGTGGTCTCGCACTACTGATTATATATATATAAATATCATATGTACATAGCAAAAGCTAGATCAAAAACTGCTCAGAGTCTAGAGTTTAAAGAGCAAAAGCTGTACATCCCAACACATGTCTAAACATCAGCATGTTGCAACTGGCCTGTGGTGCACAGCAGCAGTCGGCACGTCGTTTACTGTTTTTTTGTTGTTGTTTTTTGGGCCGCGATATCGTCGTAAACTGTTTTTATTCCCTGCGACATTGTCGATCGACTGTTTTTAGGCTTTCAGACAGAAGACGAATAGTCAATAATATATCTCGACATGTCGTAAACACCTTGAATATACGATATTGTCGCGACATCATTTCATCCAAGTGTTGAGACATCCTCTTTTGAAGGTGGGAATATCTTATCATCAATGGGTTCTATTTATTATAGTCACTGTCTAACAAAATAGTAGCTCTACCACTTGTAATACTGATATAAGTACAACATATTTTGTAATCGTATTTCATTAACATGATGGACTCCATTCCATCACTGTGTAATACAAACGAGGTAATGTTTGCTTACAATGTTGTTTTGATTACTTAGTATTCTATCTACCATCTGTATATCATGTGCTTGGTTTTATCTCAGAACAAATTATCGTTGCTACTCTTCTAACAGTGGATGATGCTCGATCGAAACTATCACTTGCCGACAACAGTGAGCAATCAAGGGATTTTGACAACTGAAGGGCAGAAAACGATCGATATGAATTCGGATCAATTTTACAAACCTCATCACTTGCCTCCGCTGCGCTTGTCTTCTAGCACATCATTTGATATAGACGATACACCTCCGCCCACTTCGCTAAGCGAGCAACCGGGTACGGTGTACAACACTTACACTTGATGCCCCTCTGATGGCTTGCAACTTTTTTTTTCTTTGAATCCAAATATTGGAGAGACCATTCTCATTTAGTTTCTATTTTACAATGCAGTACAGTCTATATCTGCGATTGATCTCGAACACTGGCTCGCACGAAGTCCTTTAACTGGTAAGCATAAAGCGTTCATTAATTAAAGTAAGTCATAAAAACGCAGCTGTGAATGTATAGATTATTCAAAAGTGCGTGTCGGAGGTATTAATCATCTCAAAAGAAGTTCATATAACTCGGACAAAAATTGATCTTAACTACCCTTTCTTGTTATATGTATGGCAGATGAGATACAGATGTCAATGGATGATGACTTAGCCTTTGGCAATTTGGGAATGGTAATGTGAAAATTTTATCCTGCGTTGTTTTTTGTCTGTCTGCTACAACAATCTTGCTCACATATTATGCACTTAACCTATGTTTTTTGGTTTTTAAGACGAGGGCCCATAGTTTTCGAACCTATGACCGTCCGCCATCGGCATCGAGGTATGAAGACAACAATAATGTAGTCCAGAATTGTACTTCATCAAACTCTACTTGTACCTCGCAAATTTAATCGACTACTTGTTTTGCCGTCAACTTTGCTCCCTCGTGCTAAACTTTAAACTTTTCAATTCAAAGTTCGGCGTTGTTTCCTTCGAGAGAGGAAGCCACTTCCAGAATGTGTGATACCGTACCAGGTGTTGGCCAGATGCAGCGTCGAGGCAGGTATGCTTGTAAAAGCTGTCATTTCTTCATTCCTATAGTTGAAGGTATGGAGAATATGTCAGGGTATACTTGACCTTAGGAAAAATATATTATCAGTTTGTATAACGATCTTACACCCCTTGTACATCGCAGTGTCGGTACCTTGGATTTTGGAAGACTAAGCCGGTCATCAAGGTACATGACAAATTTTAGCTCTCGACAGCTGCCAGTGAGACGCATCCGACAGCAAGGAAGCGATGGCTTGTTGAGCGCTCGACGATATGAGAGTTCCAGTCCCTATGCTGGGGCCAGACAATCGCTGAAGAATCAGGAAACAATTGCCCGGCATATGGCACCGCAAGCAACCACCAGAAGTATAGACTTTAAAGCCACGTCGCGAATTACGCAGGTTGATATGTGCTCTATGGCAACCACTTTCCAGCTCTCCGGCATTCATCCGTCGGCGGGGCCAGTTTTCTCCGAACTTCTCCTGGTTGGTTCCGGATTGTCAGGTACCTACAGTCAATCTTAAGTGCAGTCTCGTTTGTGCTTGATATCACCTATTCATTCGACGAGCTCATATCACTCGTCTACCACCCCACTTCTTTAATAGACAACCTCAATCTCACCATCGGCGACATCCCGGTCGACTTCGTAGTATACGGCAATGAGACGGCGATTTGTCATGTACCAATCTGTCCTTCGGGTCCTGTATTAGTCCGGCTTAGCAGGTAAGAGCGGATGCTTCCAAGTCTGTAAAATATCATCTGTGCATGATATTGCCAGAAAACACGCTCACAATTGAAACTGTAACTGACTTCCGTCGCAATTTTGTTCCGATGGTTACATCGCTGAAGTAGGGAAGGATCAGATGGGGAAGCATCAACGGTGCTCTTTCAAGTCCGTTAAGTTGACGCAGAATGCGATCAGCCTCTGATGCGAGTCGTGAAACCACTAATTCGGCTCCATATGTTCGCATCAAATTCGTAACGCATATCAAATAGTGCACAATAAGGTTAAGACGATAATAAAGGGCGATAGTTCGAGAGGTTTTACTAGCACTCAAATATAAAGCAGCAACTTCTAATCTTTACTTGCAATCTATCAAGTTGACGCCTTACTTGGCATCAAGCTGAACGACACTTTACCAATACAATCTTCGCACACTTCATAGCGCCAGATGCGTTCCTAGGTTGATTAAACAGCAAACCGCATAATCACGATGTAACAAGATATCAACGCAAAAACGTACTATCATACTACGCTGTCATGTCGGCTTTGTGGAACGTAAACAACCCCAATCTAATCGCGACAATCCTTCTCAAGAGACCTCGCGCGCAGTGCTATTCAAGCGCTACTCTCCGCTCCAAATGAATTTATACTTGCTTCAGATTCGGGATGAGACTAAGCATCAGCTTGCAAAAAGGTGGAAGATCAGCTCGATAAAGGTAGATGATTTCATATCCCAGTTGAGGGTCGCCAACTGATATCTCTCCTGACCGCTCCTGGCACAGACCCCAGTTTTCAAGCATTGCTTTCCAAGTAAAATCTGGACCACTTGTAGACCATCTCAAACGCGCAGTCGTCTGATGGCTGAAATACTGGCTCGCATGTCTGTAATGCCCCACTGAATTCATTGACATTTTGAGATACCAAGTCCAAAGGACGCCGATCAGTGGTAGTTATAACTAATTTGAAGATCGACAAGCAGTGGGCGGTACGGTAGACAATAGAGAAAAGGCGGAACGATCTAGATGTGCTCTCAGATTGACACACTCCTTTTACGCAGTGCCTCTCGCAACTTCAGTTGTAGACACTTTGAGCTCCGCTTCCAGCTGTATACGCAATTCTATTTGCTCTAATTGTTCTCTCAGATTCTGTTCTTTCCTTGCCTTCCTATCAGCTATTTCCTCTGGAGATAGCAACCCTCGAGAACTCGCTGTCATTCTCTGAAGAATCGAAATATACACAGTGTCAATAAACTGGGTTGATTCAAAACAAGTGCATAGCGTCTCGCACCCGGAAACAGCCATTGTATGCGCCTACACACACAGAAGCGTACATCTCGTATTCGACTGGCAATTTGTGTGATTAACTTAAATTCATCGTCAGTACCACAGATATCAGCTGGTAATTTAGTCATACTCAACACGTCATTTAAATCCACTCAAAAAAAAGTAAGGCGTGGGAAGAATAACATATGTGGCATCACAAAGCTTCCGTTCAAGTTTATGGGTTTGGAGTTTGGATTTCAGTACAGTATATGCATGTATGACAGATTCATATGCTGTAGCGTGGAAAAACTTTGCACCATACGTGGGATACACTCCAGCTTCATATTTGACTATAAAAGCGATGCACCAAGGAAAATTAGAGAGATT